GGAAGCATAATGTACAGTATTGTCTAATGGTAGATCCTACTGCCATATGGCATCACGAAAATTGTGACCAAGTCTTAGGTTGCTGATCTATCTTTCTGCCTCATTTACACACAATTGCAGAGTTTCAATTGTTTCTCTTCCTTTGACAACACAACATACATACAATATAATGTTTCTCACCTTTGATCTGTTTTCCTTTTTGCATTTATTTATGGTTGGTTATTTAAAATAAGGACAATTCACTTAAAGTATTGGCATCAAATTTTACCGGCTGGTGTACACTAGTGACTCGCTTAAGCGTCAATTATTTAACTGGAACTAATGTCGGTGTGAGAAAAATATTTCCATTTACTTGAAATAGATTTGCCGATTTATTTGTTGATTTATTTATTTATAATATACTGTAATATATTAAACACACTGCAAGTATTTTCTTTAATTATATACTTGTTTTGTGAAAAAGGGAGGCTACCATTATACCTGGTAGGTGAAGTTGACCAGACATTTATGGTGATCATTAAGGACCAAACTCCGAATCCATGACATGACTTCTGTTCATCATTTATATCCTAAATTTACCACTGTCGGTAGTTTCAAGAATTAACGCAGTCATTTACTGAATATTCTTTGTAAAAAAATAAATTTTAAATTAATTATTTATAGGAGATAAGTATTATTATCAGTAAATATACCGATATGCATTACTGACCACCTCCGAACACAAGGACGGCTAAAAATAGCCACAGGCGGTCACAGTCAAAGTCACTTTCCCTTTCTTGTCACTGGCAAATGGGGGGGGGGGGATGATGATAGCAGCTGTGTTTATTACCGGGGTATATTGTTCTTTTACGGTATGTTAGACAGGTTTATAATACATTTTTATTATTTTAATATACCGGTAATCTTCATTTTAATCCAGCTTCCCAAACGTAAGTTTCAGTATAAAATAATTAGTGGTAGGACCTTGTGAGTGGTTTACGCACCACTCTTGACACGCTAATCCCGCAATATTTAAGAGGTAAGAATTTTATATCTGGTGCTTAAGACGACCCCCTAACTTTGGGCTGATTTTTTTATGGTTCAAATTCCGTCTTATAGGCCGAGATATACGGTAGTAAGTATGTACAGTAATCTTTTTCACTCAAATCCTAATGAAACACTATTGAATTAGAATACTGTAGCTGGTGTAAACAGTCGGAACAGTCCCGCCACCGATTGTCTCTCCTGAAGCAAGCTTATAAATTAAAGAAAATACTTGCAGTGTGTTTAATATATTACAGTATGTTATAAATAAATAAATAAACAAATAAATCGGTAAATCCATTTCAAGTAAATGAAACAATTGTATTCGACACCGACATTAGTTCCAGTTAAATAACAGACGTTTAAGTGGGTCACTAGTGTTTACACTACACCAACCGTTAACATTTGATGCCATTACTTGAAGTGAATTGGCCTTATTTTAAAAAACCATGGATGTGTAAACAGCACTGGTCAATGAGATGGTTGGTAAAGGACTACTGGGTCAGTAAGCTCCCAATGGTTAAGTGTCACATTTGGGGTACCGGTCTTATACAGCGAATAGGGCTCAAAAGCTACTTTTTAAATGGACATTTTTGGGGTCGTCTCATACACCCCGTCACCTTGTAGGCGAGATATACGAGATATACGGTAGCCATCATGGCTACCATCTGCTTACCACGAATCGTCGAAATTGCATATTGCAAACTCACAAATGGCAAGGGTCTGCTGTACTACAGTATATTGTCCTCTCAATTTAACGGAGTCTGATATAACGACTCTAGATTTAGCGGAAGGAAGTTTTCCGTTATTTTTCACTCGATTTAGTGAACTAGTTCTTAAAATTGAAATTAATTCTGTAATACGCTCACACCTACAGAGACACCTCAGACACATGATATGTACAGCATGGCCTTCAAATTCGGAGGGGGGGGGATAGGTTCTCAAAATGGCCGCGAATCGCCAAATCGCAAATAACATTTGCTGATGGGGGGGGGGGTACAATTTTACTTGTATACATAGAAATGGATATTCCCTTTATGTGTTTGCCTTTAGGAGAATTATTTCTTTTACCTGTACAGTATTATATGTGTGCGTTACACAAAACATACAAATAAATAATAACGGGAAAATCTTCTCACAAATAATCAGAAAAAATTATTCAAAATGTTGAGTCTACCCTCAAGTCCACTCTGTGCTTTATTAATAACAAAGCACGGAATGGAGATGAGGGTAGACTCAACATTTTTAATAAATTATTTGTGAGAGGATTTTCCCATTGTTATTTATTTGTATGTGTGTGTGTGTGTGTGTGTGTGTGGACACACACACACATAGAATACAGTAGGGTCAGGATATATAGCGACTTTACATAACGATTTTTTTATGTCGTGGCTACCAAATTATCAGCATTTTCCTATTTATAGCGATAATTTTGTTTATTTTGCGAGGGAAATTGGGCAGGAAATATTTCAAATTTATTTACAGTAGACTCACAACTTAAGCGGGGTAATGTTGCTGGGACCTCACATACAGCCAAAAGCCGTATAAAGTCAGAAACACTCCTAAAAATCACCTAAATCGCCCCAAAAATACGAGTTGAAAACCGTACAGTACTGAAATGTACTCTAAAAGACTAAAATTTTATCTCTTGTGCAAAATATATGATGTCTATATTCAAATTATTTGCTGTCTTGCAAGGATTCCAGCAACGAAATTCATATTCTGCTAGCTTTAGTCTATGGCATTTTATAAGATAAAAACTTTAAGCCTAAAACCATTTTCAATCTTGCTGGAAGTGGAGGGGGGGGTGATGTTATATGACAGCTGTGGTCAAGGTTACTTAATGGCATTTATTTATCTGTCATATAGGGGGAGTTTATGTTTTTCTCTTATAAAATGTCAATGAATTGACTTGAGAGAATATAATTAATATTTCTGGAATTCTTGTAAGATAGTGATTAATTTGAATATAAACATGCTATAGTTTTCACTAGACATAAAATTTGTATCTCATGCAAAATATATTATGTCTATATTCAAATAATTCGCTGTCTTACAAGGATTCCAGCAATACAATTTATATTCTGCTAACTTTAGACTGTGCCATTTTATGTCAAGTTTAGTCACTTTTGGGGCCTCCAGAACCTATCCCTATTTTCTCCATTGATTACATGTAATTATATATCGCGATTTAGTATATAGCGAACATCGTTGGACCCTATCTCTCAATATATCCCGACCCTACTGTACAGGTAAAGGAAATTATTGCCTCTAGAACAAATGGCTCCCTGTCCTGGCTGCAAAAATGCCAGCCATTTTAAAACTACCCTCAGACATTCTTGGGTACATCCAGGGTGTCGTCTGCAAATAATAGAGGACCGTGAAAAAAAAATCCATGAATTATCCGGGCGTACTGTACATAGGAACATTATTCGTGGCTTACCTAAAACTAGAGGGTTTGGTGTTTGTTTTCAATTTTTTCATAATTTCCCCCAAAATTCCCAATTGATAGCTGCACTCTTTTGGCTTTCTCCCCCACACCACTTCCTTTTTGAGAGACTTACGGTATGATGTCTAAGCACAGTAGTTAGTTGAACGAGAGGTAGCAGTGAATAACACTCGCAGTGGCGGCTACACACAGACTGAGTGGATGTCAACAAAACCCACTTACCAAGCGGTGCATTTGGTGCAGAATTTAATGGTGTCATGCACAATTTAGCGAAATGGTTCGCTAAATTGAGCAAAATTAATGCAAATTTGATTTAGCAGAAATTTAACAGAATCACACTCGATTTAGTTCGCCAAATCGAACAAAAATTACGGAAATTCGATTAAGCGGAAATTTTTATTTAACGAAAAGGGGTGGCTCGAATTAGTTCATTAAATCGAGAAAATACTGTACTCACCAGCAGATGCTGTCGTCTTCAGCCGACAGTAGGCACACACTGTCCACTCTGCTGAATGTACAATACAGTACCTGTACAGTATACGTAACTGTAATCACGTTTTATATCTTAATGCTGTATTCTTGGCTGATTGTGTCCTGGTACAGTACAGTATTGTACACTACTACACAACATAAATTGTATGCAAAGACAGCAGCGAGCGAGAGATCTAACTTTTACAATGGCAGCAGAATATGAATTAAGCGTGCGAGTGTACGGCCTAACCAAGCAGCTAATCCACCCACGCGCCCAGCACGTGGGAACTCGTCAGGGCATGATGCAATCTTCTGGAACTCCAGGAAATTTTTGTTCCGGGCACAAAACAAAGAGATTTTCTCTGAATTTTCCGGAAAAGAGGTCTCTGATTTTCATCCTCGGAAACTTGTTCCCATGCTCAGAATGGAAAGAGTTTTCCCAAAATACTTCTGGCTATTGGAGAGTTCCAGGGACTGGAGATTCCAGCTAAAAGGGAGATTACTGAATATGGAATGTCATGGACATTTTGGGGTGAATTACTGTATATTGCACTTTTCTTAATACTGTTTAATATGATTTGGGAGACAGTTAAGATAATCAGATGAAAGACATTTTTTTTAAAGCAGAGCAATACCTTAGGGCAATTCTACACAGTGAATTGCCTGCCAGTTGAAGAGTTCTGCCTTTTAGAGAAAATGTAAGCACAAATCGTGTCATTATTGTTTTGTAAATATGACATGCCTTATACAGCTCCCACATTACTTGTTGTGTGCTTCTATGATACATATAAGCACCAGTTCCATATCATATTGCCACCTGTTAATTTCTACATTTAACTTTTATATAAATCTGTTTGTGTTAGGATCAAGAAGTTTAATTACATTCCTCTATAAACATAATACACCGAGTTGTTGATTTTTATTTACTTTCATCTTCCTCTTCTTCATTGTGTTGGCTATATACTGACAGGTCCTACAGACTCCTGCCTCACATTTAGACTCCCAGGAGTTTATGTTTAATTCATTTTCATTTACCTTGTTGATCTATTAATTTCAGGTGAGATGACACTACCTCCTCTTCAATTACAAGGTAGAGCTTCCCAGTTGTTTGTCCAGGAGAGCTCCATAATGGTACTAACTACAGATGCAACACTTTCCATTTGGGACTTAACGAAAAAGAAGAGGATCCTTTCAGAAACTGTCAGACATCTGGGTAAGATATGTCTATTTCACCCATCTTCTGTAACTCTTGCTGTAATGTGTGTTTGTACTACATTGCCTCCCCCACCTTTTGATATACATTATCTCGTCAGGAATCTCAAAGTACTTGACAGTATCGCCATATCTCATTTGCACTATTTACATGTGACTGAAAGGTCTGGTTTAGAATACTAAAGTACCTGTAGCGCAGGTAATTAAGAAAATTTTTTATTGTTGTGGAGTGATGCGGCTGGGACCACATGGTCCCTCCTGCCCAGTCCGCAGAATAATGAAGAATTGGAAACTAATCCCTTTTACGCGTTATTAAATCAACCTATAATTCAACCCTAGCTTTTGAGAAATAATAGATATAATCCTAGACATAATTTGTAGCAAGACAATACCGAGGAGTCTTGGCCTTGACCACCACCACAACATCTGACGTTATAAACAGTGTTACTGTCTCTGAAACTTAATTCCCACCAGTTACCAACTCTTATGAGAAATAAGATAAAATAGTATATACGTACTGTACCAATAATTATGAGGAATAAATAAAAAAATACTGTATTGTGATTTGGCTGCTGGACAAAATGTTTGTTTTTTCATTCGTTTCAGTAAACATGGGAGACAGCTCAGAACAACCAAGTTCCCTTCCTCCCCCACTCAGAGTGAACTGTTAATTCACAAAGAAAGTTTATTCCCTTTTATGTTTTGAATTTTTTTAATATTCTGTATGTCATATTGTGTGTGCATGTAACAGTGGGAAAAAAAAAGTGTAGAAAATTACATACAGTATACAGTATTGCGGCCTATAATTTGACCTGGCATATAAGACAACCTTAATTATTTCAACTGATTGTTGATCTAGGCCTACCTCTTAAACTGCAATTTGAAAGCTACATCCTCGGTATCAGCTAAACTTGCCAATATTTACATTTTAAGAGCCCTAAACCCACTGATTTCACAAATTCACCACAGCCAAACTAAGGTAAGTAATGTACTCATATTTGGTTTCCACACTCTTCTACATATGATCTTTTAATCCACAAGATTTAAATGATGTTCAGGAAAAATTTATATACAAGTTTGTTTGCACACTGGGTGGGTTGATTGGCGAATCACTTTACCGCAGTTCTCGGGTTAAAGTGTTAATAGACGTAAGTAAGGTTCTAGATTCTAGAAGTTTTCAGAGCTACGGATAAGATTTTTTAAGGTTCCCAAGTCCTGACATATGTGTACATGGCATGGACGGCCTTGTGCAGTGTGAGGTAAGTGGATGATGTGCAAGTGTATAGCATACTGTATATACTCTAGTACAGTTTGAGTTATTATGATCAAATTTTTATGCAAAAAGTAAGAGGTCGAACTATATCAAAAAGTATTTTGTGGTGTAATGGGCAGCATGCTCACCTCACAAGCGAGTGGACCTGGGTTTGATCCCTGGGCAGGATGAAACTATGGACAAGTTTCCTTATGCCATTTGCCTCTGTCTACCCAGCAGTAGTTGGGAATCTGGATGTTAATCAATTTGCGGATTGTGTTCCGGGGTACAATGGTTAGCTTGTGTAGTTGGCGAGTTGTCCTGTCTTCTCGGACTGTTCCTTGACACTGGGTCAGCAGCTCGTTAACTCAGCGTGTGGTTGTTGTGTTGGCGACAGTTTCTACATCTTAACCCTTAGGTCCTGGGTGACGTTCCAGAACGTCCGCCTATTCCCGCCACTGTTTAAATGCCCAGCGCTGGTTATCAGGTTCCAGTGTGACTATTTGCCTGTCACGCCACACGCTCGGCCACAGGGAAGCTTCCTGAACATAATTACCTATTTTTGTTTCTTTCATTTTCATTGTTTGTCTATTTTATCATGTTTCATCAAAGTAACATTGCTGAAAGTAATGTAGTTGTATTACTGAAAAATAATGCTATGATTATGTTATAAATGTATTTTTGTGGAATTATTATTATTTTATGCATTACTTGCTCTACCAAACACAAAAACAGCCAGGCAGACTGGTGACCGACTGGTGTGTGTTGCCAAGAACTTTTTATGAAAAATAATGAAAATAAAATATTCTAAATTAATTATTTATTGGAAATACTTATTAATATCAGTAAATATATGTATTATTGGCCACCTCGGACACAAAGGCGAGCTAAAAATAGCTGCTAAGTACGTAAAGACCACGAGCGTCAGCTGTCAAACCAACACTGTCTCTTTATCTCCGCCCCTCCACACGGCCAGGGAAGTTTCTAGGGGGTCAATATATAGTTTTTCTTACTCTTTTTTTATTGTTTTATCATTTAAAAAGGTTAAAAATTATTTTGGGAAAAGTTGATTTTTCTCGACTTTGGGTACTACCGGCGGCACCCTAACACGGGGCTTAAGGGTTAAACAAATTGATGCCTGGGTGGCCCTATGGCAGGCCATCTTCAATCACGAGGGGCAACCATTATTAATTCATTCGTTTCTGCAAGTCATTTACTGTGAGCAATAGCTAATTGGGACGCGCTCATAATTTTGGGTAGATACGCATAACATTTTTTTTTTTTTTTACTCAACTTACATGCACACACGATACAAATTGTGAAAAAACTATATATCATAAGAGTAAACACATAATGGGAATATACTCTAATCATTTCTTTGTGCTTTAGGAGGCTAAATGGGGGTGGGGGAGTGGTATGTGTGTGTGGGAAGGGGGGGGCTGTTGCTATGGTGACTGGTGAATGTTGAGGCAGCCAAGTAGCCAGCATCTATGTATGGTGGTTGCATTAAACTTTCACTTAGCTTTTTCTTAATGGTTTAAGCAGCATTTTTTCATCAACATTGTACGTATACAATTGTTAATACCCTAGCCTAGGGTGCCGCTGGCCATGTCCCTCCATCAAGAAAAATCAAAACTTTTCCAAAAAATATTTTTAACCTTTTTAAATTATAATACAATAAAAAAGTAGGAGAAAAAATATATATTGACCCTTTAGAAACTTCCCTATGGCAGCAGTGGCGAGGAAGATAAAGGGACAGTGTTGTTTTGACAGCTAGCACTCGTGGTCACTAGGCACTTAGCGGCCATTTTCTGCTTGCCTTTGTGTCCGGGATGGCCAGTAATACATAGATTTACTGATCATAATACTTATTTCCAATAAATAATTAATTTAGAATATTTTATTTTCATTATTTTTCATAAAAAGTTCTTGGCAACACACCCCAGTCGGTCACCAGTCTGCCTGGCTGTTTTTGTGTTTGGTAGAGCAAGTAATGCATAAAATAATAATAATTCCACAAATAAATACATTTATAACATAATCATAGCATTATTTTTCAGTAATACAACTACATTACTTTCAGCAATGTTACTTTGATGAAACATGATAAAATAGACAAACAATGAAAATGAAAGAAACAAAAATAGGTAATTATGTTCAGGAAGCTTCCCTGTGGCCGAGCGTGTGGCGTGACAGGCAAATAGTCACACTGGAACCTGATAACCAGCGCTGGGCATTTAAACAGTGGCGGGAATAGGCGGAGGCTCTGGAACATCACCCAGGACCTAAGGGTTAAGATGTAGAAACTGTCGCCAACACAACAACCACACGCTGAGTTAACGAGCTGCTGACCCAGTGTCAAGGAACAGTCCGAGAAGATCGGATAACACGCCTTTTTTTTTTGACGGGGATTAGCCCACCCGGGCACAGGTCACTGACCCACATCGGGGCCTGGGGCCGAAAATGTAATAATAATAATGATAACTAACCATAAAGAAATGCAAAAATGAAAAACAAATCAAAAGTGAGAAATGCTACATGTATGTTGTGTTGTCAGTAATAAGAGAAACAATTGAGACCTTACAATTGTATGTTAATGAGGCAGAAGTCAGATCAGCAACCTGTGACTTGGTCACAATTTTTGTGATACCATATGACAGCAGGGTCTACCATTAGACAACACATATGCTTCCAATATATTCCCAGGCGGTAGTACCTCCCTGTTTGCTAATTGCTTACTACTTACTACCTGTAAACTAGTTAACCATTGTTCCTGGAACAAAATCCGCAAATCGATTAACATCCAGGTTCCCAACTACTGCTGGGTAGACAGAGGCAAATGGCATAAAGAAACTTGTCCATAGTTTCATCCTGCCCAGGGATCAAACCCAGGTCCACTCGCTTGTGAGGTGAGCATGCTGCCCATTACACCACAAAATACTTTTTGATATAGTTCGACCTCTTACTTTTTGCATAAAAATTTGATCATAATAACTCAAACTGTACTAGAGTATATACAGTATGCTATACACTTGCACATCATCCACTTACCTCACACTGCACAAGGCCGTCCATGCCATGTACACATATGTTGGGACTTGGGAACCTTAAAAAATCTTATCCGTAGTTCTGAAAACTTCTAGAATCTAGAACCTTACTTACGTCTATTAACACTTTAACCCGAGAACTGCGGTAGAGTGATTCGCCAATCAACCCACCCAGTGTGCAAACAAACTTGTATATAAATTTTTCCTGAACATCATTTAAATCTTGTGGATTAAAAGATCGTATGTAGAAGAGTGTGGAAACCAAATATGACTACATTACTTACCTTAGTTTGGCTGTGGTAAATTTGTGAAGTCAATGGGTTTAGAGCTGACGGGAGGTCGTGCTAGGTCACGTCATGAGTGGGGGGATGACATGTGAGGATGAGGAGGTGAGACACAGAAACCACTGACATGAAATCATGATCAGCAATTAGTAAGAAGCACTTATTTAATATATTTTCTTATTTTCTGTCTGAACAAAATTTATTATGGAAAATAGCCTTATTGTATTCACTTACGGGATTGGTTCAGAGTCCAAATTGAGTGAGAAAATCACTTATTCACTCGCGCATATGTTGTTTTTCTACTGTTTATACTATTTACACTACAGGGAGTCCCCGACTTAAGAACGCCCGCCGATACGAACGGGGTTAAACTTTAAATTTACAGTATTTTATTTACCTGGTGACTTTTTTTACTTTCATTTACTGTATTTTGTCATTCTTTTTCTTCTTTTGACTTAAGTAAAGTGATTTTAGATGTATATAAGGACGTAGGCTATGATATAGTGGGATTTTAAACATTGTTCTGTAAAGTACGGTATGCATATAGCATGTGTTCCGACTTACATACAAATCTGACTTAAGAACGTCCTCAGGAATGGAACCCGTTTCTAACCCGGGGACTCCCTGTATTTACAACATACTACCAGAGAATACTCAGTAGTGTGGCAATTCCTATAACGGGGCGAGGACACACATCTTGACTCTATCGTGATCGAGATATGACTGTCTCATCAGCTGCTTGAGTGGGAAGATTACCCAGTGGAACAACTGGCGAGTGTAAACATCCCATACTTGATCCCGCGAGATATGAAATTTTATGCGCACTGTATTCAAAACATTCTGAATTCCCGAATGTATGTTGTTTATCATTTGAGAATGTATGTAAATTTACTGAAAGTACTATATATCATAAGTATGATATTTTTGCTGAAAACTACAGTAATGTATTATGAGCTTAAATAAGCCATTCTACAATATGTTAAGTGTAATATCCTGGCTGCTGTTCTGAACAGTTGTGCCCCCAGCTGATATGGATGTTTGAATAACAGATTCCATCTGATTAATGACATCTCTATGGCTTAATTAGTATGGTACTCAAGGTTTTTACTATTTATGAAAATGATCCAAAGTAAGGATTAGCACTGAAAACACTACTTTATGATTCTATGCCAGTACTTTAGCAATTGGTCAAACATACAGTTTATCTAAATATTCAATTCACACTGACTATCTTTGAACAGGTTAAGGCAATTACAGTACTGAGAATGTTCTTGGTAATTGCTTTGTGTAGAATATCAATTGTTACCTTTTCTTTTCTTTGCAACAGTTGAAGGTCGTAAGGGAGGAGTAAAATCAGTTCAGTTGACTCCAGGAGGAACTCCAGTATTGTTGCTCACATCAGGAGAGGCATTCACTAGATGCCAGGACTTAGAGGCATGGTTATTACTTGGTGATGTTGCCAGTGTGCGTTGTGTTGTTCAACCAGAGTATACAATGTTGCCTCCATGCCACCCAGCAGACAACTGTTCCAGGCCACTTGCTAGTCTCTTACACCAGACTGCTGCATAGTAAGTAATTACAAATAATATTTTGAGTCTATGTCTTGCATATTCCTATCTATAATAAAACAGGATGTTTAGTTATAGTCTCCAATAAACACAAAACTTCATGCACACCTGCACTAATTGTGGAAGTGTACTCCAGGGCCTGAAATATCTAGTACAGTCACACACTGTTTTAGTACAGTATATGGCACACCAAGAAGGTTATCATGTTCAGTTACCAGAACAGGGAGATCGGACATGAGGAAGCGGAAGTTAAAAAGAGGAAAATAAGAGAAAGGAAAGCTGATGGAACAAAAAATTATAAGTTTTTTTTTTACAGTATTTGGCAGAAAATTCTACCTGCAAAGAAATTGGGTGTAAGAAAGTAAATCTTTAGCCCTTACGTATTCCCTCATTCTGCTTTTCAGTTTTACCCAGTCTTTGTATTTTTTCTCATCCCCATAGCATGTTGAAGTCATAAAGAAAGAGGTGATCATCACTGGTCTATGACAAACTTACATTAAAAAAAGTCATGTCAGAATTTTAAGGATCAAAGGTCATATCCTTTGATCCTTAAAATTTTCATACACCAATATTGAACTAAAGATAACATACATTTACTAGATAACACCTTAAGTTTCCCTCAAGTAACATTTTCCATTAGTCTTACGGTATACATCATTTTCAAATAGTAACTTGTTAACAATGCTGTTGTTGTCAGGAGAGTCAATCGTGGAAGTATGCCTGATGTTTGGACCAATATTGGTGTAAAAGAACATGAGCTGTTGATATATATACCATTATAATAGATTTGCTTGCCTCAATGACTCAATGGATGTGTTTGTCAGTCTCTCTGCTAATTGTGGATAAATACCAGTACTGTATATATTTATACTTACTCAGCACATACTTGTTGATAGAGGAGAAACTGATTGTTAATATATCTTTCTCCTACAGTTCTGGATCTTCTCGGGTGTCCCGACCTGTAATTTCTGATGATGCTCGACAGAATTTGACAGAAGTGTTCCTCAACCGTATGCTAACATCAGCGGAGTATCTCAGATCTGCTAATGATTACAAATTTTGGTTGAAACGCAAAATCCAGTTTTTCATCAAGGAAGGTTAGTGATAGAACAACCTTTACACAATTAAATACAGTACAATCTTCAATTTCTTTTTTATGTATAGCTTCTCTCTTGTCATTGTACGTTACACACCAACTTATCGTCAAACTTTACCTTATTGCTTCTCATTTTATTACACTCTTCTTGACTCAAAACATATTTCAACCTTTGGGAGCAAGAAGCATCAATCTTCAGTGTTTTTAAGTATCACATCCTTCTTGTCACAAGTCACTTTGAAGTGTAAATGCATTGGCCCAAAAAAATATAAGGTTGGCACACATGTTAAATATTTGTATCTGTATTGTATATTAGGTTATGTCTTCCTGAGATGTCAGTTTAAAAAGACTACAGTAATTAAAAAAAAAGTGGAAAAATTGCAAATATAACTATGTAGTTTTACTTTGGATTTACATTACAGTAGAGAAGTTTTCTGTTGTAACTGTCTTAAGATACAGTACTGGTTATTTGGGCTTGACTTATACTTAAGTTTCTGTTTCAGGACTGGAGAAAAAATTACGAGATATTTTTGATGATCTTCTTGGCCCAAGACACAGTGGTACAACAGAATCTCAAGAGGTGCAGAATTGGAAACCCAAAATAATGGTAAGTTTATAATATTGAAATCTCAAAGTAAAGGCATGTGTAATATTTTTTTTATTTTGAAGTGTAATCCCTCACCAACCATGGATTTACACAACCATGGGTACGGAATTCAGGGAAATGTCCTAGCATGGATATAAGACTTTTTACATGACCGCAAGCAGTGTTTGGTGATTAATGGCACGAAATCATCATCCGTACCTGTCACAAGTGGGGTACCACAGGGCAGTGTATTGGGCCCGCTGTTGTTTGTTTGTTTCATAAATGACACGCCTGACGTACACTCCTCCATACAAATGTTTGCCGATGATGCCAAGTTATTTTGGGAAATCAAGAACCAAGCGGACTGTGAAGAGCTGCAGAAGGACCTCTGTGGGCTCCAAGAATGGTCGAAGAAATGGCTGCTGAGATACAATGTCACGAAGTGTAAGAGGATGCACCTGGGGCGTACCAACGGTAAGGAGGCGTATCATATGTCCCAACGGGATGAAGAAACTGCACTATTTGAAACTGAATGTGAGAAGGACCTAGGTGTGTACATATGTTGACAATGAGCTGAAGTTCTCGAGCCATTGGGAGAAGAAGGTAAATCAGGCAAATAAATTATTGGGTCTTATAAGAGGTCGTTCAGATATCTAGACGGTCCGTCCCTCGTAACGATCTTCAAGAGTGAAGTGCTTCCCCATCTGGAGTACTGTCACCCCGTCTAGTCCCCGAGATATGCTAGGAACTGTCAGTTGGTTGAAAATGTTCAGAGGGCCACCAGACTGGTGCCTGTACTTCAGCACCTCAGCTACCCTGAGAGATTGGAGTGCCTGAACTTGCCTAGCTTATACTACAGATGGGCAAGGGGCGACCTAATTGAGGTGTATAAGCATCTCAGGGGGCACTACTCAGTTGAGTGTCCTCACTTGGAGCTGGTGGATGCTCGCCCCACAAAGGGGTCACAGCTCAAGATTGAAGAAGCCGCAAATCCAGAAAACTGTGAGGGCAAACTTTTTCGGAGTGAGAGTTGTAAACTCTTGGAGCAATCTACCAGAAAGTGTTGTGATGGCACCGAGTGTGAGCTCTTTCAAGACAAGAATTGACCAACACTGGAGCGGGTTCAGGTACATTCAGGAGCCGGTGCATGCCCAGTACTTGCCAACAGTGCGTAACAGAGACGTGTCTGATCGCCCAAGCGGCAAACGAGCCAATCTTTTGGTGAAGAGGATAAAAGAAAAGGAAAAGTAATCAGAAACGTGACCGATCGCCGAAGCGGCTAACAAGCCGATCAGTGGTGAATAGGATAAAAGTAAAGAAAAAAAGTGAGATCGCGTATGTAAGTGCGCACATGTGAACACACATCGTCATTACTCTACATAAGAATATGAAAGCAACACTTATTTATTGTTCATATATATTTTAATTAATGTTTCTGAATTTAAAACAAAAATTCTACTCACCAGTGGTGGTAAAGTTGAAAACATAAGGACAGCCAATGTTGTTGTGTGGGTTTTTACTCGGATAACGAAGTTGCCAACTCATCAGGTTCAACTCTAAGTGAAGCTGTAGAACATAAAAACTTTTTCTGTGTTTTTAGTTTTTATTTAACTTTATCTGTTATTTTCCTGTGTTTTTAGTTTTTATTTAATTTTATCTGTTATTTTTGTTGGTTTATTAGGATGTTGCTTTAGTACAGGTAGTAATTCGCCCAAAAAGTAGGGTAAATAAGGCAAAATTTAGCCAGACATTGAAAGTACCAGACCCAAATTAATTTTCTCCATGGGCAAACTAAAATTGTTCCGGACCACAGAATGCTGGACTAGAGAGGTACAACCTGTACCTAATTAAGAAAATAAAGACAATTACATATATCTACCCAAAATTATGAATAAAAAAATAACCATAACATAATACCTCACAGGCGGGGTATGGTTTGAATTACTTGGCACTCCTTTTAAATAGGATTTATGGGAGAGTTTCCATAAAGTCGGAAATTTGTAACCCAAGTCATCGGTAATCCAGGAATTGTTTATACTCTATATTGCTTTCTACTTTTAATTAACTCAGGGTTAAGTAACCCTTATTTACCATTAGACCCTGCAGATGATGAGGGATCATTGTATAAGCTGTCAAAAAAAAGGAGTTAGCTAAAAATTTGTGGAGCAACTTTCTAGTTGTACATTATTGACATTTTCTGTTCCTTTACTGGTGCCTCATATGAGGTGATCTCATTCTTAAATGTAATTTTTATATTCATTGTGCAATGTTTAAAATTTACAATAATTCTAGACACGTGTATGTTTTCCCCAGGAGTTTGACAAGAAGAACCTTCTGGAAGAATTTTTAAGAGAAATCCTACTTGCCAAGAATTCACTGCAGCTACAACGTCTCTACTCTGAGTACAAAGAACAGCTGGATGCAAATATCATAGATTCAATATAGTCCAGTATATTTAGGAAATTATCACTTGCTTGTAAATTTTGTTTCATTATTTTCATGAGAAATATTCTTACAGAATTTGTAGTTCTGGTTGTATATAAGATTTTTTTTTTTTTTTGTTGTTGCCATGAGTTTGTGAAGCTCACTGTTGCAAGCTCCTTGTTGCATTAATTTTTTTGTACACTTAAATTTTATATAAATTTTTACCTTATATTATAGCCAGTTTTTCTATATACATTACGATAAAGGCAACCTGTATGAATATCTTTATGTACAATGACATAAGAAATTCAAGTCTGTGGATGAAATATTTTTATCTTGCTTAGTTCTTTTGACAAATTTGAAGTGCTGTGGAAATTTCTCGTGGTTTTCATTATCTTACAACTGACTCCAAAGCTTTGGGTAGCAGGTATACAAATGAAAATTTTATTAATATTTACTAATATAATCTTCAAGGTATAGATCACTGCCATTGACATCTTTGCCTTAAAAGTCTTAAATATAATAACTCAACTGATTTTAACACTGCCCAGTATAGTATCATACTGCCATATACATTACAATGCCCCACACTGCCAGTGGAAACTGTCCACAAACATTCAATGCTTAAGGTCATACTGTGTGTAAAGTTTGTAACCTAGGTGCAATGTGACACTTATTGTATTTTAGCTATGTACTCGCCTTTACTTCATTGCCAATCTCAACAAGGGTCAACCTATTTGTTTCTTAAGTACAGTATAAACTGACATATCAGTTAGCTAAGAAAAAAAAGATGTATTAGATTTACAGTATTAAATATAGGTATACTGTATATAAGACATTTTTTGAGGTGTGGTTCTGAAGTAAGTGGAAATAGGGAACTAAAAGAGATATGTCTGGTGTTATTAGGGGAGTGATTAATAAGAGGACATTAAGTGGTATGAATGTAAGGAAGGAAGAGATGTGAGTGAGTAATTGAAGTTTGTTATTAGAGTGGGAGGAGATTCAGGGAAAAGTTCAGGGTGGAAGGGCATTATGGGACTATGTGAGAAGGTGACATCAGTAAAGGAATTGTGTTGCCAAGATTAGTTCTACAAAGAACGCTGTCCTCCAGTTTAGCAGAAAGTTCATAGGATATAGGTAAATTAAAATTATTGACTAATGTAATGCATGTCTAGCTAATCATTCCATTGTCTTTTATTTAAATTTTTTGTGATAAGACGATAGGTAGCAACTCGCATTACGCACAATAACCTTATATCTTGCTTAGTTCTTTTGACAGGTACACATGATTATTTGTAAAAAAAAAAAAAATAGCATAAAATTAGCTGTTTTTGTATAAAATAAAGTAAATTTTGTGTGCATTTACTAATAGTTGCATTATCTGTACATTAACTATTTTTTAATTCTAACGAGGTGTGTACAGTAGATCCATTTTTATGGTTTCAAGGAAAAATTCTTTTTACTGACAAATACCTTCCCACATGTTTGTATTTAGGTATAAACTATATGTATTTTATTTCAAAACTACTTTTTAGTAAAGTTTCCTAGTCATCCATTCTCTTATTAACAGCAAAACTAATATGACCTTGCACAAGACTTGATACCCTGTGGAGGGGTGGGTAGTGCCTCATGACACTCCAATCCCACTAAATTAGTAACATCATGCCTTCATCATCAGTGCATGACATCAAGGAGGCCTTTTATGCTTACCTTGACAGACTGCTAACCTCTGTCCCCAGAGAAGATAAGGTTTTGCTCCTAGGTGACTTCAATGCCAGAGTTGGCAAAGATGCTGACATATGGCAGGGCACCATAGGGGGAAACAGAGTGGGCAAGTGTAAGCTCAATGGCCTACTCCTCAGCAAGTGTGCTGAACACAACCTCACTATCACCAACACCTTGTTTAGACAGGCAGACTAGTTCAAGCATTCTTGGCAGCACCTATGATCCAAACATTGGCATCTCATTGACTCATCATTATCAGAGAAAAGAGATTGCCGAAGTGTCTTCATCACCTGAGCCATGCAAGCTTCAAACCACTGATGCAAATAATCGGCTCCTCGGAACCAAACACCCCCTTCACGTCTGTTGCGTGTGGATAAATGTGGACTGCAGGTACCGGTAGGTCTAGCAATCAGGGACCCTCACGATGGTTCAGGTGGAATGGTTTACATAACCATTGTTGAGCAGGTTCCAAGTCAAGGATAGGATAAAATGCTTCACTTTTATCCAAGCATTTACTTGACAACACTGTCAATACATATATAACTGGGAAAAATAAAATCTTTGAGTTGAAGTGGCAACAGCCACACCCCAGCACGGCCAAGTCACCCTCAGTAGTACTGTAGTCTTATTCTTCATGCCCTTCCACCAGGCCCTCGAAGACAAGCACTCCTCCAGGACAGTCTTAGCTACTCTGATCACTTTCAGGCTGACAGCAACACCAGACTCACGAACAGGGTCGCCTTGTAGTTCCGCACAAGTCCAGGAATATCTGCACCCCACCACAGGTTCCTCCACATGGTGTCATCTTTTTGTGCCCCCCAATACGTGAAATGGTGATGACGAGGCTTCCCTGCACAGCGGATGTTCAGGCTGTCTCTGTCCCTCGGGGTCCAGCTGATCTGGTAGGTCTGCACAATACGACTGGCTGTCTGCTTCTGCTCCTCCACACTGCATTGACCTAGTGAAAACGACTTTGTTGCTGCATTTGTGGCAAAACAGATTTGAATTAGAATTCCAATACCTGACCAACAACCCCAATTATTGAATTGGACTCAGTAGCTTTAGCACATTTGTCAGTAATATGACAGTGCCTCCCCATTTAGCAAAGAAAAAAAAATTTTCTTTTACCCTCTGTACTAATCTGCTGATCACATCAAGCACCCATGTTTTCCTTTCCTTTCCTTTTATGTAGTTAATCGTGAATCTACACCCTTGCAATTTTAAAGCCCACCTCATGAGTCGTCGGTTCAGAGCCGTTTCCAGGATAACTCTCCACCATACAGGAGCTGGTAAAACTTTTCAGTGGCCGACACTAATGCCAAGCATTCTTGTTCCACCACAGAGTATCTCTTCGTATCAAAGTTTTCTGCTTGCATATGCCACTGGCCACTTTTCTTCATCTCACTCTTGAAGTAGTACAGCACCTAATCCAACCTCAGATGCATCTATGCAGAGAACTAACTTTAAAATTGGGTCATTAGTGAGGGCTTGCTTAAGGTTCTCAAAAACTTTGTACTGCAGCACTCCCCATTTTACTATATGAGGTTAATTCTTACAGGTTAGGTCTGTTAGAGGAACTGCCAATGTTGTGTAGTCAGGGATATACCTTCTATAATAGCCAGAATATCCTAAAAAGAATCACACCTCCCTCTTAGTTGTACGAATTGGTACCTCTATAATGCTCTTTACTTTATCAGGCATTGGTTTGATCATTGATGATACCTTTTCCAATAACATGTCCAAGATATTCTAGGCTTACCTTTCCTACTTTGCACTGATTCAGATGAGCCATCAACCCTGCTTCACATAGTTTGTATAATACTTCCTTTAGCTGCTGGCAGTGATCTTACTAGTGTAATCTTGTAGAATTGACTAAACTTCTTCCTGCTGACCTGTCATCAGTTGCTCTTCAAGCCGTACGTCCTTCCAACTTTCTTTCTGCAGGTGGTTGGGAATCACAGTGACATCATAGGTGGCAGACTCCTCCTGTAAGACTGTCACAGCTGCTTTGTTTGATGTTGACTGGGAACCTGTTAATATATTTGTTTAGTATGTTTATGTGATATTTCCTCTTCACTCCATTTACATCTAACTCAAATAATACAGTTTATTGGAACTTACCTGCTTCTTACATATTCCCAAGTTCTCTTCAACTGATGGACTGACTTGGGTTCTGACACAGGGAAGTTGATATTATATGACTGCAATTTCATCCCAAGCCTTTTTCCTTTGTAAAACAGTACTTGGTAACTAAAGTTTTTCTTTTTTTTACCTTACAAGCTATATAAGGTACAACTTCTGGGTGTAATTCAGTGTTATTGCCTTGTGAAGTCCTGCTGACATCTTGAAATGCGCGGTCGGGTAGGATGTTTGGTTACGTTTCGCCTGCTCAGTACTGCCAAGCTTTTGCTGCAAGAGGCTCCCAATGAATCTGACCCAGACCAGCTCCCGACTCTCTCATGAATCTTTAGGTGGCCAAGAAACCTACTAAGGGATTTCAGGAGGTAGTTTACCAGACTGGTGTTTTAGCAAATAATACAAGAGACTGGCTGAGGGTGATGATAAATTGGCAACCAAAAAAAAACATAATATTATACATTTTATACTGTAGTCTGGCAAAGGTGTTTCTATATCCCAGTCAAGATACGTATCTGCATGAATCCATAACCATCTACGACTACAAGGGATAACTCGAAGCCCAATCCATGAGACATTAGTCAAATCCCCACTCATCTCTACTACTGTGACACTGCCACCTCTCGACTGAGGATATTACAAGGGATATAGAAACACCTTTTCCTGATTGTACCTACAAATATTAATTTAGTTCATGAACAAAAAATAAACTAAATTACTGTATACCTAAAAATTTAAAAACCAAAATACTTATGTACAGTAGACCCATGCCATTCGCAAGAAATGGCGCGAATTGGCAAAACCGGAAATAGCCACTTATATAATACCTTAGTGCACTAATATATACCTATACTGTGTATGAGAAACTTAAGTCACATTACTGTACTTACATTCGTATGTGGAAGTCTGGAGCTTGATGAAGTGGTGCACTGTATATAGGGAGACATCTGGTTACTGAAGCATAGGTGGATCATCAGGATCACTGATGGAAGAGGGTGAATCAGCGGTAGCTGGGAGGCAGCGTGTGGCCAGGAAGCTGGTGGAACGGCAGCAGTGGTAGCTGGTTCTTTCTTGGAAAAAATGGTGATTGGTAGTTGTTTCCTCTTGGCTTTGAGGTCTTTCAACATTTCCTGGTAGGGAAACAATACCTGGTTGATTCCTCGGACCATCTTAAGGCTGCGTTCCATGGAAGGGTCATGGTCAACAATGAAATCATTCATCATCTTTACCTGACGAAATAGTGTACCAAAATTTTCCAAGCCCCAACCTTCTTCTTGTAATTTCATAATGTCTTCCTCTTCATCTTCCTTGGCACTTGTTACCAAATTTTCTAAATCCTCTTCTGTAAGTTCCTCTCCATGCCCATCAATGAGCTTTTCCATGTCTTCAGCAGCCATGTCCACAAACCCCTCACCACCCAACTGACGTGCAACACTCACAATGTTATTCACATCCTTTACTATGGAAGGAAATCCTTGAAAGTTATTCACACACTCAGGCCGTAAGGTGTGCCAACAAGCATACACTGTCTGGTTGAGTTCACTGAATGCTTCACTGATGTTGGCAATGTAGTCTGAAATGCTATCCTCCTTCCAACACTTGCTAACATCAAGGTCAGGGTCTTCATCCATGGCACTACAGATACAACTAAAAGAGCGGTGTGTATAATATGCCTCTGATCGAGAGGCTGGATGAGAGCAGTGGTGTTAGGGGGGTAGGAACACCACCTCTACACCTGGATGGCTAAACAGTAAACTTTCTGGGTGGCCTGGTGCATTGTCTATCAATAATAACACCTTGAAATCCATCTTCTTGGAAGCAAGGTATTTTTTCCACTTCCGGGACGAAGCATTTGTGGAACCAGTCCAGGAATGCTTGCACAGTTACCCATGCCTTTGCCAGGGTCATCACTGACTTTTTTGCCTTTTGTGTTTCACTCCACTAGCATCACTAGCACTAGGCAGTCTTTACGGGGCCATTTTCACAAAGAAGCACGAAAGTTTTGAGAGTATGACACGGGATGCTAAGTTACGGGCACTTGGTGAGGGCAAACAGAGCGAGATGAGACGCTGTGGGCGCGTGAGGTGACTAGTTGCACTGCGGGAGAAGGCTCGCATGCTAGCCACCCGAGCTGCCAGCTGCTTACCGCGAATCGTAAACCCGCGATTGGGAAGGGAATACTGTATACTGTGCATTAGGTACACTACAATATGTGACGAAGGTTGATCTAGCTGACTCCTGGGGCACGCAATTTGAATTTTCAATTGGACCATCTTTCAGATGAGCAAAAATCACTTGGATAGTGAAAAAGAGGTACAGTCTAAGAACAGAATTTTCAGAAAAGTAAATTTTTCAGATAACAATCATTCAAATAATGAGAGATATCTGTACTACAGTACAGTATTTCTTATTTTATCTCTCATAAATTAAAGAACAATTATTGAGAAACTTAATACTAAAAAACAGTGAAATCCAATAAACATCCAAGCAAGACACATTCTAAAAAGATTATTAATTTGCTTGAGTCAGGTGCATCACTATCTACTAACTTAAGGCTGTCCGTCGTAGCTGACAACGACTGCTTCATTATGAAATTGATGATGATGAGTGGTGAACTAGGGATGTTGCTGGCGGTGCCACTGGATGTGGCTGTGGAGTCTGATCCTTGACCCGCAGACCCTTATCACACA